CTTACCGCGTCACGTTGTCCCCCTCTTTTATATACCCGACTACCCTATATCTGGTAAATACTAGAGCATTCCTGAAGGAACAAGATAGTTCTAGAAACTAGAAAGCGCCACACCAGTCACGTGACCTCGATGACGCAATAATATTATAAAACTTCAGCGGTAAAAAACTCGACCTTTAATCGGCGTGGGATCAGCGAGGCCCACAGAGCTAGCCAGCTTCCTGTTAAGAGAATTTTGTCTACTTCAACTCAAAATTAATTCACTTATCATGAACCCTCGATAAGATATCAAGAAAGTTCCAGACCAGAAAGAAGACTCGATATTGTTTGTAATTTTATAAAACTTTTGTATATAAATCATTATTTGTAATAACCATTATTGTAAATTGTATTATTGTTTGTATATTAAAATATATTTGTAATAAAAAAGAAACTGTGTGTATTAATCTTGTTGGCAAATATCATAAATTGGATATATATCGGCATTTATTTAACTACTAAATCTAAATTACAGTTTAACTCAGTTTTAGTCTATTTGAAATTGTAATACGTAACACGATAAGTATGACAAGTAAATGAATATATATAAATATATATATACTTTTTAATCACCAAATCGTTCCAACATAGGAGTCATTACGCTGTTCAATAATTTGAAATATTTTATATATTATAAATACAATGAGTTATCACATCTTACAAAATCTAAGTTACTGCCTTTTTAGTAAGAGATTCAATATAGTATCTTTCAATAATACAAATTATTCGGATTTTAAAAATTACAAATATATAATATCTTAAGGTCTCAGAAAATACGTTCAGTGCCTACCTTTGTTCTCCAGTAAATATGTACGATTGGGATAAAAAAATAGACTAAAAAAAACACGTTCAGCGTAGAATTAGAAAATATTCGACTAATTCAACTTAGTTTCTAGAAATCGCAAACAGATAAGAAAATCTCGCATCTGAGCTTTCTTGCATTAGGTCAAACTCGTAGTTTATTAATTGAAAACGGATACCTTTAAAAGGTCAAAGCTCCTGGGTAACTTACACAGCTCTTCTATAAAGGAGTTCACCAGGAACCACAAGCCTATTTAACCTCGTCCTTGGTAGTTTCTGACTTGTGTCTTTAATCAATGCAACAGAACTCTTTACGTCAAAACCTGCACCTTCAACTAGTGAATCACTCTCTACTCGATCACTAAACGGAGTTTCCATGACTACCACGTAACCCATAAAAAGGATGCACGCTGGGAGAGTAAATGAAAAGAATCAGAAACAAGCTTTGAGGAAAGAGTGAAGGGCTATAAGCAACTGTGGTGTTATAAGAAAGCCTGGTATAAAATTATGAAATATATTTAATTAAGAAATATAGCAATGGAGCCCTTAACTTCAATCATTAAGCCCCAGCTTAATATAAATTAATCATAACATGTAAAGGAGAGGAATGAAATTTACAGTACAACATATTCAGTCTACTTCAGCTGTAATTTAAACGAACAAAATGCAAAAAAGAACAAGAAAAGAATTCGGAAAATAATTCAAATAATTTAAGCTAAAGTTAAGTTTATTTAAGTTAAAATACAAACAGAAGGAGTGGAACACCACTGCTAATAATGAAGGATAAAATAAACATATTGTGTGTTAACTCTAACTCAAATGAAGGGAAATGAAAGAGACGAATACAACTCGTAAGTCATAGGATCACATTATGCCAATATACAGGATTTATTTTTTATATTTAAGTTTGTTGATTAATTTGCGTTGTTTCATTACTGTATGGATTTAGGCTTTCTAAGCTGATTAAATATTGTGGTTAATAACGTCGGTACCCATCTGATTATCCCGAGTAAACCTAATAACTACAAATTTTTAGTTTTGCCGTTACTCCATACTGTAAATCGTTTTATAACCATAATTAATGTCATCCCAACTCTATTACTTCATTTTTCAATTTATACTGTAATAACTTTAACGAGATTATTCAACGTCATTAGTGAAGTATCTTAACTAATATAATTCTTCTTAGTTTTCAATACGTATTTTTCTTAGGATTACATGATAACTCTAAAAAACATAAATTCAGTAGATTAAATTCCCCACCCTTCCTGTGGGCCAGCGTTAAATTTAGGAACTTAAAACGTTAAACAACTGGGGCTCGATTCCCCGCGGTGGAAAGAGTGAAAGTAGCATACTGTGTAGCTTTTCACTGAGAAAACATAACAAACAACAGTATATAATCTATAATAATATGCGTAATATTCCTTCCTTACAAACGGTTGCAGTACTATTAACTGAAGCTTTCATAACGAAATATCAGGCATAAAATACGATAACTCTCAGAGTTTACAGAATTGTATTAGTATCATGTATGCAGTATTACAAACACTTTGATCTGCAACCTATAAAAAAAGAGAAACATATAATCAGAATAGTAGCTGACAGATATATGCAAGTACCACATGAAACAATATGACATCTATTAATTGTTATAATTACGTAATAATATTTGAAATTCTGCGGTTACATCGTTTATTGTATTTTACTTTGTTATACAGTAAATTTACGTTTTTGTCTGCAGTAACCTGCCCTATTCGAACAACACACTTACTAAAGTGTGCAGAAAATATTCAATAATTAATTATGTAACTGTTCCCCAATGTTCCACTTTTGCTTCAGGTGGGAGTAGAAAATATTAACCATTGTTAATTTCTAATCATTATTTTTTTACGTAAAATTCAAATTGATTTCTTAAAAAAAAGGGACGACTCTTTCCCAACATTACATTTCAGTCATAGGCGCCACTCTTTAAAAAATACAGGATATCAATTTTAAAAAATATACTATAATTTTCCTGTATAACACATCTACGACCTAGTGTTCATGCTCAAAACTGCATCGTGAGCCTAACGAATTTCATGTAAATCGCTTAGGTCAAGGTCTGGAAAACTGGTGGGACCGGGTGGTGCTTCAGAGTCTCAAAACTGGAAAGAATCCAAGATTTTTGAATAAATAGTTACAACGTCTTGTACTAAGGAGTTTACAGAGGAGACACCAGTATAAGTTCTAAATAACATTATATAACGCATGTATATCTATGTAGTTATGTTTCTTAGTAGGAAGATACAAATATATTGAGTGCTTTGCTATTATTATCAATAGTGACATTAATCCCTTCTAGAGGTCTAAGGGTAATATTTAACTAGTTACTATGGTTACTAAGTTCTACCTAAACTGAAATTATATAAGGTAATCGTTATGCAATAAAACAAACCAAAGTTAGTAGCGAACAGAATTACCAAACATTTAAAAAATACTTAACTTAAAATAAAAATCAGACGCTTTAAATAAATAGCCACTGTTTTTGCCAATAAAATTATTAAAATGCTAACATTTTTTCGAGTTTGCTTGAGCAGTTACAACAAAATGAGATAAAGCAAACTACGATTTCAGGCTGTCCGAACAGGAAACTAAAGAATAGGAAATGTTTGGTTTCATCCAAACCTACTTGGCTACTTCGTGCATCCTGACGACTACCGAGTAATTTAATGAGTGTTAGGAGGTGTGATTTTTACACCAATCAAAACAAGTTCGCAAGTGATTTTTCAGGAAAACATGTTTGAAAACTAGGATGATAAAATCAGTCTAAAAGCGAAAACAGTCGACGAACTCTTGAAATGTCTACGAAAAGTATGATGACAGTATTTAAATTTAGTTTAATATTTTTGATTTACAGTTAGAAGATAAGAAAGATAGATCCTCCATAGCTGACAAACCATTTTTTTGTAACTTACATGATATATACATATATAAATCAGGAAAAACCTAAAACGAAGAATATCACAATTTTCTTTAGAAAGTATCAAATCAACTTTCAACATCTGTTCTCTTTCATGAAAAAGAACTATCTTCAAGGTACATGAAAAAGGACTATCTTCAATGTACATAACGTTATTCTACAAATTAAAACTTTTAAAGAATAGTTGGAGAAAATCATTAATTGTGTGTATATTATGTACATATTGTTTATTTATGTATACAACAGTTGTTAACCAACATTAACTACACAGTTACAATTCATCAAATGAAAGATGGTTGATGTTATCAACCACACTCAGTCATTGCAATAACCATGGACATACAAAGTTGAAACTTGGCACATACTTGACAAAAAGCACTTAAGCTTAAGCCTTTTTCCTTTCTCTTCTTCTTGTATGATATGGTACAGTGGATTTAACTAATGGTACATAGCGATGTTGAAGGCGGAACACAAAACAGTTATCAGAACAACTTTTCAGATAATGGTAATACAAATATCACTATTTAGCAGGATAAATTTTGCCGTGTAAGGGTTTCATTTGGTGGTATTAAACAACTTTAAAAACCGGATATGACGTCACCGATTGGATACTAGGATACTCTTTCTGTCTAGTTCGTCTGCATTTCCTGCTTTTGTGGAGAGGGATCGAAAAGTGACTTGAATGTTTTTCTAATTTGTTTCGTTTGCTCCGTGTTCTATAATCTAAAAAACAGTTATGATCTTATTTTCTGCTTATCTTTGTTTTAAATTGATTGATTTATGTTACCTCCTAATACAGATAAAGAGAGACTCCTACCTGTATGTGACTGAAACTTACTTCAGTCTACCCGTACTACCTAAGCCTTTTTAAAAAAATGTATGGCATTTTAATAAATATTTTTGTGATAACTTTATGGTATCATTTCTTTATTGTCTTTTTTTTTCTTTCACATTCACGGGCTGGTTTTGTTTTTATATATTAGGGGAATATAATCCTTTTTATTTTACGCTTATTTATTTAATTATCCATTTTTATTTTTTTCATTTATTTTACTTTTTTTTCGTGTCTTAAACATTATTTCTCTGCTATTAATATTCTCAATTATTTAATTATATAGGCTTACCTGTGGTTTGGTTGTTTATTCTTTATATGTTTTTATTATTGATCAACTACATGGCTCAGCATGGCCAGGTTGTTAGGGCACTCGACTTGCAATCTGAGGGTCGCGGGTTCGAATCCCCGTCCCGCCAAACATGCTCGCCGTTTCAACCGTGGGGACGTTATAATGTGACGGTCAATCCCACTATTCGTTGGTAAAAGAGTAGCCCAAGAGTTGGCGGTGGGTGGTGATGACTAGGTGCCTTCCCTCTAGTCTTACACTGCTAAATTAGGGACGGCTAGCTTTGCGCGAAATTCAAAAACAAACAATCGACTACATTCCCATAATTGGTTGCAGACGATGAATGTGTAGTTTTGTTCATGACATAATGAGTTCAAGCACTTAAAATAGGCCTTCTACTAATTTCAAATGTGTTCATCTCTTGCTACACAATAGATTCTTACCCGTGTAATTGAAGAGACGGACTATTTGAATACTAGCCTATATACACTACTTATGACGAAATAGGTTATTTTATTTAAACATTTTTTCGGTATGTTTTGTCTTTGCGCGTTTTTAGAATATCTTTAGATTTGTTTTTCATTTCATTGTTTTGTAGTTGCTGACAAGTTTCGTCTATTACACATGATGATATTAACTTCTCATTTTGTAATTGCATATTTAGTATTACTAATAATTTTTTATTTATATGTACGTCTGTATTTAACTTGAATTTTGAAAAGAATGACTCCAGGCAAAACAGTAATTACGGACCAAAAATCACCTACCGCCTACAGGAATTTGGAACATTTATTTATAAGTTATGGGCGTATTAATGAAATATAATATAGCAACCTTCTTCCTCCTGAAGACTGATGAAGACGTTACCATATTTGTTTCTTTTGAATTTCGCGCAAAGCTACACGTGGGCTATCTGCGCTAGCCGTCCCTAATTTAGCAGTTTAAGACCAGGGGAAGGCAGCTAGTCATCACCACCCACCGCCAACTCTTGAGCTACTCGTTTTACCAACGAATAGTGGGATTGACCGTCACATAATAATGCCCTCATGGCTGATAATGCGAGCATGTTTGGTATGACGCAGATTCGAACGCGGAGTTGAGCGCCCTAACCATGCCCGACCGTTAAAGAAGAACTTATACACAGTGTGGTCACAAGTAAATAGACACCACCTTTTCAGAAAAAAAAATGAAATTTTTCAGTCATAGTCACATGAATTGGTATATTTATAATTTAATTAATATCTAGTAGATCTTCCTTTCGCTTCATGGAGTTCGTTGATCCTTTGGGGCATCGTGAGAATCATC